TGTAGAACCAGAAATGAGAACAGTGCAGGATTTTTAAAAGGGACATGATTAACAAGAGTATTCTTTAAAGTATTCTAATAGTTAAACCAACATTATGTAGAAGTTATAAAGCCTTAAATTCTATGAAGAACTAATAGGCAAATATCTAATTAGTTCATCTTCCTTATTTGAGACAGTGAGCCTTGCATTGTGCAGCATGGTGAAGTGAAAATCTGTATTTACAAAGACAACGGTCCAAATTTTTCAGCATTCATGTGTATGGAAATAGGTGCCAGAAGCCTCTTCAGAAAGAGGTGGATGGCCTTTGAGAGAATGGCATCCATGGAGTACTGTAGCAGGCAAAAAAAGAGTTTCCAGAAACAGTATGAGGATGCTGAGATTTAGAAAACAGTCATTCTAAGGGAAGAATTTGGGTTGTTACACAAAATGACTGCAGTTTCATTTAACCAGAAAACTAGTAAACTTAGAAAAAATGCAATGAATTTCAGAGTTCTAAAATGCATAAACATGTGTCTGCTTCAGGTGAGGGATAAATGCACGCAAGGCTGCAAAGTTACACACTATATGCTAGGAGTAACAGGCTCTAGATTTGAAGAAAAGGGCAAAACCCCATTGCTGGGATTGTCATTTCATTTCCTGTTCTAAATGTATGAAGAAATTAATAGCTATAGTGCAGGATATCAAATACTAAAAGCAATGTTCTACTTTATCTTCCTATGTTTTATGCACACACAGAGACAAAAGGAAAAATCACTCACCAGATAATTCCCCCATAAAACAAGGAAAATAGAAAATAAAATACAATGGAGCCCCAGGTAACAAAATGATTTATCCAAGTCCAGAAATGAGTCTCTAAAGCCATCTAAAAAACAAAGAATGTTTAGAAAATTAAGCTATGCAGTTTTACTTCATTAATATGAAAAGGCAACATTGCTTTCAAATTATTTGGATTTACTGTCAAACTTAATCAGTAAACACCTTTCAAGACACATGAAACTATGAAATGAATCTTTTTAAGCCATCACTGAAATTAACCCTAATGCCCTCTTTACCTCCTGTTTCCTTGAGAGACAGAAATTATTCACCACTCTTGTAAACTATGAAATCAACTTTAAACTGATAAATTATTCTGTATTTGCCTACATTTCACAAAATGGAGGGTAAATATTATACTACTGTACCTTCACTGTAACAGTTATAACCATAACAGTAAAGACCAAAGTACCGAAAGTCCAGTTTCCAAACATCTAAATAAAATACAAAAACAGAAGTCATTGCACAAAATCAATTAATAGCAGTTGTAATAAATTATAGCTATCTGAAACCAGCTACACTAATGAAACCTGTGATTGTTCACTAAGTATAGTTAGTAGAGCAAGAAGGGTACAGCGCAAACCACAGGCAAAGAAAAAATATAATTCCTATTAAGAGTTACAAAATTTACATCCCACTAGCAAGGAATCTTTTTCCTTACCACCACAAATCTACAGCAGAAGATGACAAAACCAAATCATAAAATGAGATGGTAGGAAAATGAAGTTACTAATCAACCAATTATGTGTGAATATCCAGTTAGCCATGACTATCAATGGGAAGGTATTCCACTTTAGTGTAAAAGCAATAACTCCTCAATTATGAAGTTTAACATTAAAAGTTATTTTTGAAATGCAGCATCATTGGAGGGTTTCGTTTTTCCAAACCACAATCTTCATAATTCAAAAATAATGGTGCTGTTATGTTCTTTAAAGAGAACATTAAGAAAAGAGAGACACTTTTTTTTCCAAGGCTGGTAAGATGAAAATTTAATCCAAACCCTAAAATACTTCTAAAGCATCTACCACTTTCATCATCCCATCCCAACTGAATGATCAGACCTTGGAACAAATTCTCCAACGTCAAAATCCCAGTTCTAACAAAAGGCGAGGATGCTGTGTTTGTTTCAGCTGTGTACCCACATGCTCCACAAACACATCACCCTTCTACTTTGCCTGCCTGTACTATTCTCATGAACAAGCAGGTACTGAAACTGAAGAGACTCTGCAGCACCTAGACCTATGGTGACTGACACTCTACATACTTTAAGACAGAGCCCAGAATTCTTGTAAATTTCACTTCTTTACCATTTATTAGAAGTAGGCAAACATGGATAGTGCAGGAAGACACCACCTGCAGATATGCAACCAAATTCATCACTTTGGAATTTCATAGTTTAGTTCATCAATTAGAAAGCTAGGATTAACATGGTTGCAGCCCTTGTAATAGATAGATGATTTTAAAAAACAAATAAAAGCCTCAAGTGTACCCCCATACACCCAGTGCCTTGCTATATGAGGAAGAAAAATAATTTTTCAGCTTGTTAACCATGAAATTAAACTACTGCTATTAAGAGTGGCCCATGAAAGAAAGTGTCTTAATTTACACTACCATTGATGGCTGTACAGCTGCAATGCAAAAAATGAACAAATTCTTGCCACCATTTTTATTTTTGAAAGCATTTACAGAGAATAGATGCTACATCCTTTAATTTTGTGGAATACCAGATACAATATTTTGTATCTCCTTCTCTTCTTCTAACGTAAATCTTACCATTTGCCTGTTAGGTTTCAATATCTGACGACATGCACAGCATGAAAAAAGGGGGAAAAAAGTAGAACTAAAAGATCAAGTTGTAGTACAGTGTGTTATGATGTAAGGCTATTAAACCTCAAACACACATTTACATACTCTGCTCTGGAAGCTAACCATATGTTATATGTATACAAAGTAAATTGTTCCGTTTGGTGCTCTGAAAGTCTACCTTTAAGTCTGTACTTAGGCACTTTGATGTAAAAAGGATTTTTTACTTGAACCAATAACTGCTCAGGAATGGATTGATCCAGAGGGGAAAAGCTGTATTGAAAAACTTTTTCCATTCAATAAAATTCAACAAAAGCAAGATATCTATGAATGCACAAGCAGAAAGTCATATGGCCTTTACTATGTTACACCAGAGGAGACAATACATACCTCAATTAGTAAAGATATTTTGCTCAGAGGTTCAACTATTTTAATGCCTCTGTCAAACATCTCATAAGTGGATAGATACTCTAGCTAGCTGTATTATCACCACTAACTTTTCAGCCTGCACCCTATCTAAATTCTGCTCTCTCTAAACAGAATCTAGCAATTGTTTCATGTTCTCTCTGACTTTAGCCACACAAAACTTTTTTGGCCATTGTCCATTCACCAAAAAATATATATCATTTGCTGGTGAAACTGGGGTAGAGCTCACAAGGTACCTGTAAGATTATGGGAACATTCAAGAACTTTAACAGATGCCTTTTTTCTAGCATCTGACTGCCATAAATGGAAGCTATGGAGGGAAGTTTTACTGAGGTCTGAGCAAGAATGAATGAGGAGTCTATGGCAGAGATATACAGAATATAACAGATTGACAATTCCTGCCATCAGAGCAGCACTCATTTGGAAGACCTAAAAAACCCCTGTCATACTACAAAATAAAAGAAAATGACTGTATTCACTGAAAAATTTATTTTACAAAGTATATATGTGAAAGGTGCTTGGTTACAGCCTCACAGACTGAAATCTTCTTTCTTCACAGAACAGGTAGCATGTGGATAGTGGAAATGGGAGTTTCCCCACATCATCCTAGAAGGAAACCACCAACTTATTTCACATTGGCCACTGGATGGAAACAAGGTCACTGAGATGGGGGTGAATTTGAACCAGTGACCTAGAGAAGAGATATATATTCCATTACAAATTTACTAAGTCAAACAGTCCTCTTTGCTGAAGTTATTTGCTGCAGGGAAAGAAAAAAAATCTAACTTCTAGGATAGGACTTAGTTCTCCTGTTATTTGGCATTCAACAATAAGGTACACAAGGCAAGAATCTCACTGAGGACAAGGTAGTAGGAAAGAAATGCCTAATCTGTACAGCCACCTGTAAGAAAAAAAACTACTTTGTGATGCTAAATCCTAGTCCCACAAAAGGAGCAATTGCCCATTAGTATCAAACACACTACAAGTTGAGTAATGATGGCGGTAAAGGGAAATGGCCAGTTGATCCTGCACAGATTCTAGAAGAGAGTGCCCCTTTTGTTTTTCTTGTTTTGGTCTAGCAGTAAAAAAGAAATCCCAAGAATTGATGTTAGTGTCCTGTAATTTTAAAAGGTTAAATGATTAAATACTACTAATTCTACTAAAACAAAAGTTTTAGTCTTCCTGACATATTTTCACTTTTAAGTACTGAAAACTAGACTCTCTTATTCCACTTCATGACCTTGAAGGAGAGTTCATCATTGATGCTACAGCCACTTATTTGCTGAAGACTTCATGTTATTGGAAAACAAACTATTTACACTTTACTCATATAAATTTAATGACAGACTATCAAATCTGTCAAAATGATTTACAAAAGACTAGCTAGAACAGTGAATAAAGAGTTTGAAAAATTGTTTAAATCACCAAACCAATCTAAAATTTCATTATTACACAGAACCAACAGGACTCCTTTTAGACTCCGACATTCAGGCCAGAAAGGATCATCATAATAATCTAGTCTGGCCTCCTGCACATTGCAGGCCACAGAATGTGGCCCACCCGCTCCTGTAATACACCCATAAGCTCTGGCTGAGTTACTGAAGTCCTCAAATCATGATTTAAAGACTTCAACTTACAGAGATGTTAAACGATGACATTTTGAATACTATTATAACTGGTTCTGTGGCCACTTCAAAAGAAGCCTTTCAGCACATGCTCTCAGGGGGACAATTTTTTTGGAATAAAGATATACAATTATGCAGAATTACTCTGACAATTAAGAGTTGCACAGGGTTTTCTATTCATTATCTTAATAAATATCAAAATATACTCCAGGGCATACTAAAGGATTGCTCAATATTTTGTTAGTGGCTAAGCAGAAATGCTCATCTGGAATGATCTCTCTTTTAATGCTTGAATTTCTGTACCTCCAAGAGTGGAGGTATTTATATAATGCTCTGTCATCGTCAGTCATAATTCACTGGTAGTTCAAACACATTTTATTACAGGTTTTCATGGGATATAAAAACTCAGTAATCCATTTAATTTTTCTGTGGGATTTTGTTTGTTTGGGCTTTTATGAACATTTGCTTTGCAGAATAGAACTTCAGAGTTACGAACATCACAGTTATGAACTAATCAGCCAACCACACACCTCACTTGGAACAGTAGTATGCAATCAGGCAGCAAGAGACCCCCCCCTCCACTCCCCAAAAGCAGCCAATACAGTACATTACTGTTTTAAACGTAAACTACTAAAAAAAATAAAAGGAAAGTTTAAAAAAAAGATTTGACAAGGTAAGGAAATTTAAATGAAACAAGCACAGAAAGTTAAGATAGTTAAAAATAGCATTTTTCTTCTGCATAGTAATGTTTCAAAGCGGTATTAAGTCAATGTTTAATAGTAAACTTTTGAAAGAACCATAACATTTTTGTTCAGAGTTATGAACATTTCAGAATTACAATCAACCTCCATTCCCAAAGTGTTTGTAACTCTGTGGTTCTATTGTCACTGGCTAATACAAAGGGAAAGTTATGTAATCAGAAAGTGTGCAGATTTTCAGTAAGTAGAATAGAACAGTAATGGTTTTTCATAATTACTATCCAAAGATTCAACATTTCAATTACTATATTAGAAATAAAGCAGATAGAATCTAATCCATTAGCAGGGATCTTTCTAGGATATGAGTTTATTTTGGACAAACATCCACGCACCAGCCTAGGAGCAACAGATCATCATATGACTGATCTGTTCTTCTGCCTTTTCTTCACTTTAATTTCAGGATCTTTTACTGCCTATAAGGGAATAATGGTAAAGCACATTTTGTATTTATTCAGTGTAGAAGGTATTAAGGTCTTGAAAAAAGAAGTCTACTGGTTTACTATTTAAATTTACTGAATACAGTGTGACTTTTGCACTGCTAGAGTACACTAATTTTACAGAAACTGCAGAGTATATTAAATAAAATAATAATAATTAAAAAATCACTGAATACACTGTCTTGCAATTTGTGAACTATTTTACCTGGCCATTTCCCAGCAGAGAAGTGTCTTCTCCCATCAGAAGATACGAGCCGTAGAAGAAAACAAATGCATGAGAGAACCCCAAAATGGTCCAGTAAAGAAACGGTTTAAATCCCAAGAGTGCATTTTTCCTAATGTCTCTGTGGAAATAAAACAAATTTTAGATTTCAAAATTTTCTCCAAATAACTAATCAGCTAGCTACTGAATCTGCATTTACTCAAAACAATAACATTCATTCATTCTCTAACTTTGCTGAGATGCATTTTTTAAAATTGCAAATAATAAAACAATTATTTAAGCGACACCTTGAAACCACTGATAGGATTTATTTCCCATGTAGGCAAGGACCTCTAAATCTCCTTTTCAAACATCCTCATGGGCTAACTATTATTTCTATCTCAATCTTATGGAAAAACGTAGGCAGAAAGGTTAAATGATATACCTCAGGCCGTAAGAGGAATCAGTGGGAGCTCTCTCACTCAGAGTACCCTGCTTTAACCACTTCACATTTTTAAAAAAAGCTGGTCTCAGCCCATTTTCTAGTGGACAGGGGGGTCCTATTAAAAAGTCGCTAACAGGAATGTCAGACAATGAAGTTCCTCCTTCCCCAGGGGGGACAGGATCTGCCATCTAGGCCCTGTAACCTTACCATCAAATCTTGGCTAAGACACTTTTTAATCTGTACTGTATTTTCTCCCATCACTGTAGAATCTGAGCATCTATTTTGTCTATGGACTTTTATTTCACTTATTACTTTAGATACAAATAAAAAACCCCACAAAGTAAGTTATGACAGATGGTTCTACTTAAAAGATCTTCGGAGATGACATGAGTGAATTTAGTTTTAGCTACAGTACACTTTTCTGTCTCCAATAAGCAAGACTACCTTCAATAAAGTAAATATAATTTATAATTTAGAAAGGGTCAGCTGATCATTAAAAGCTAAAGGGACTAAGCACCACCAATAATATCACAAGTGTGTAATGCAGTACCACATGCTTCCACTAGGGGAATTATACTCCACAAGCACAAACTGCAGACCGCAGAGGAATGAGGTACATAGTAACAACTAGATTTGAGGGGGATAGGCTGAGATTAAGAGAGAATAGGAAGAGAGTCACACAAGAATAAATACTGTTTTCTCCCCAACTGCCCTTCACTACAAGGATTGCCACCTGCAACCCCACCATTGATTTTGGACATGAGCGGACAGTGATTGAGAAGGGGAGATTACTTACCTGTAACTGGAGATTCTTCAAGACATGTGGTCCCTATCTGAATTGCACTGAGGGCACCTTGCATCCGGAACTGGTGAATCTGAAAGCAGTAGTGTCCGTTGGTCCGTGCACGTGCTTTTGCTTCGCCTCATGGTTTCGTCCAAGGTGATAAAAGATGTTGCAGACCAACCACGTCTCCAGTTCCTTCATCACCACAAATCCAACACATCCGCAGTAGAGGGGAAAGAGGGCAGGATGTGGAATATAGATAGGGACCACACATATCAAAGAACTTCCAGTTACAGGTAAGTAACCTCCTCTTCTTCAAGTGATGGTCCCTATTCTATTCAACCTTGGGTGATTAACAAGCAGTACCTAATTTGGAGAAGGGTGCGAGGATGAGGATGGAATGGTTGAGTGGAGGACAGCTGTGCTGAATGAGGTATCCATCGCAGAGTTCTACACTAAGGCGTAACATATAGTGAAGATATGTACCAAATGCCACATGGCCACCCTACATGTTCTCTAAGCGGCACATTGTGGAGGGTGGCCATGGTGGATGCCTGGGCTCTCATGGAATGGGCCCTCACCCTGAAGAGTGGAGACAGTCCTAACAACTGATAGCATAGTGTAATGCACCCGGAAATCCATCTGGAAATTCTCTGTTTGCTTGCCCCTTAATTCTCTCTGCTATTGCAATAAACAATCTAGAAGACTTTCTGATCAATCTTGTCCTCTGCAGGTACAGGCCAAGGCCCGTCATACGTCAAAGGAGTGAAGTCATCGTTCCTCTTCTGAGGCATGAGGCTTTGGGAAGAAAGCAGGCAAGTGGATGGGTAGGTTGAGATGAAACAGAGATGACCTTTGGTAGAAACTCAGGATATAGGCACAGAGAGACTTTGTTTTTATGGGAAGTGGTGAAAGGGGAGTTCACCATCATGGCCCTAAGTTCCTCTACCCTTCTCACTGAAGTGATAGCCACAAGGAAGGTGACTTTCATGGAAAGAAGGGACATAGAGCATGAACCCAGTGGCTCAAAGGATTGGTTCATCAGTGCAAACAGGACAAGGTTGAGGTCCCATTGGGGAGCAACAGGTTGTACAGGTGGAAAAGTTCAGAGGAGGCCTTTCCAAAACCTAGTAGTCAACGGATGTGTAAATAGGAAGTGTCTTTCCCTGGGAGGATGGAAGGTGCTGACTGCCGCTAGGTGGACCCTGAGAGAGTTTAGGGCAAGCCCTGACATCTTTAAGGGCAGGAAATAATTCAAAAGAAGGGAAAATCTGTACTTCCTATGGGGAAAGCACCTTTGGTTCGGCCCAGGAGGCAAAGCGTTTGCACTTGGCCTGGTAGGAATGCCTATTGGAATCATTCCTTCTGCTCGATAGGATGTCTTACACTTCCAATGAGCACTCTTGCTCTAGAGCAGATGCGCCCATCCAAATACCATGCTCTGAGTTGAGGCGTCTGTGGAGCGGCATGTCTGATCCTGCCACTGTGTTGTGTTAGCAGCTCAGGGAAACTGGGAATGGGAAGTGGGGCACAAGCTGACATGCAGAGAAGGTTGGAAAACCAGAACCGTCTTGGCCGGAATGGGATGAGCAGGAAGACGGTGGCTCTTTCCTGCCTGATCTTGTGGAGGATTAGTGGCAGGAGTGGTAAGGAGGCCAGGTGCAGTTAATTTGGTCCAACTAACGGAGTAACGGGTACAGCTTGGGAAAGACTGGCAGATACCACACCTGGATGAAATGTGGGCTTCTCCCAAGCAGTAGAGGCAGCACAGATGTTCATCGCTGATCGAGAAGCAAGGCAGGAGGCAGTTTTTAAATCCATGACTCTGCGGCATAGTCCAGTACCCACATGTGGGTATGCGGGTGGGAGGGGTAATCAGTAAACAGATTCCCCCAAAGTCTTAGTTCTACTCCAAACACTACTAAAAAGCTAAAACTATGTTAAAACAATAAAAACAGCAAATAAAAGAAAAACAAATTATATACAGCTCTACACTTTTTAAGGTATACTTGTGGCACCTTAGTGACACAAATACTCCTGTTCTTTTTGCGGATACAGACTAACACGGCTGCTACTCTGAAACTTTTAAAGGTGTGTCACATGAGGACGCTAGTAGTTCCGACTGGGACTATGCGATGGTGAGAAGGATCTGGAGACACAGTCGGTCCGCCCCACCCTTTATCACCTCAGATGAAACCATGAGACAAAGCAAGGACACATGCACGGACTAATGGACGCTCCTG